CTTCCATACTACCTCCCTGTCAGACTGCCTATTTCTAATTCAGCTGCTTACAATACTACGATCTGTTCCAGCCTTTAATTTAAAATTCCAAGTTGCAAAGTACCAGAAGCTAGTGCACTTACAAATTCAATTGGGAAGGAAGTGGGTAATAAAATGGTTTCTGGTGATTCGCAATAAAAAGGACAGATGCCTCTAAGTATAGAGCTACAGGCTGTTGTCCATGATTATAATTTGAAAAGAAATAATTTGTGTTCTAGTGTCAGGCTCACAGCTGGACAGGAATTGGTAGCAAAATAGTAGAACAATTTTCTCACCTTAACTCGATTAAAGTGACATACATAAGGACATGTGAAATTCCAGATGACATTTATACAGATTTTGGAATTCCATTGATGGGAGGTTTGAAATTGGTAAAATTTTCTCCATCTCTAATGTTATGGAAAAGCCCCTCAACAGAGGTCCTGTCTTGAGAAGGCTTCAAGTATATTTCTGTTATCAATCCTCCTGTAGTCTACAAAGGCCTGAGGGGTCTACTTACATTCTTTCACAAACCTCGCTGCAGTTTACTGAAGTTTATATTTGTAATCCCATGGAAAAGGTATTGGAATTCCAGTAACTTACTACTTTCCAGTGCAACCCATGGAGAGAACAAAGACACTAAGACGTATCTGTAGTTCTGGGGAATGCAAGGAGTCCTAAGTCCAGCTAGAACAATGGCTAACTGGAACAAAGGCCTTCATCTAGGGCCAAATCCAGACTGTATTAATTCGTGAAGAGGGGAGTGGCTTGGGGACTGACTGCAGGAAGGGTGGAATGTGGGTGCTGTGAGCTGGGCTACGTAGGAGATCTGCAATCACCTGTGCAATATGCAGAGATGTAGAAAGAATAACCTGCATAGCACCTACTGAGGCAGTATCTAGTGTCTTGTAGTCAGTGCTTTAGTTTTCATGTCTCATTTTCAAGGCCGGAGAAGTCAGCCTCTTTTCTCAAGGTTCATTTTCAGCAGACAGTGTGGGGGTCTCTCATCACTCAGCCTAGATCATACACAATATTTGGGAGTGTAGGTAGGGCACTTCATTACTAACAACACAGCACCTCAGATAGACCCACGTTGTTGCTTAAAGCCAATTGAGGGGATAAAGACAAAACTGAGGCAGTACTGCATACATCAATACAAGAAAATAGGGCCAGGATTAGCCAAAATAGAGACAAACACTCTCCTTTCAAGGAATTTTCCAGGTAGTCCTCCATGACTTGGATCCTTACCTTGAGATGCTGGAGGTTTCTGGGAGGAATGTGTGGGATATGTGATGCTCAGGATCTCTGGTCCTTTCCTGTCCTCCAGCCATCCATTGTCTCCACATCAGTGTTCCTTCATCTTTGTTTCCAGTATTTTGTGAGGTTAACAAGGCTCACCTGTGATTCTGGGCATGGCCATCTTTGCAATTTTCTCAATGGAGGGGCTTTAAGCCACTTTCACCCTGAATCAGCTCAAGAGCCCGGCTTTCATTTCACCCTAAGATTTTTGCAAGATGATTGAGGCTTGCAGAGCAAACATGTGATGCTTCCATTTCAATATTCCTTTCAAATACAATTATGTCCTACCTCTGTCGGCACTGTTTTTCTAAAACAATGTCAACAGGCACCCCAAGGACTACTATATGAGACAGCAACAGGTGACACCTCCTGTGGGACGCCGTTCACATATGCTTGCGTATGCTAATCTGGGGTGATCTGGAAAACGTGTTTAATGCCAGCATGTAGAAGCTGTACACTATGAACATAGGTCACGGACTTGGCATTTTGCTTCCCTAAGATTTAGAAAGTTCTAAACAATCAGGACCGCCCTAAAGAAAAAGGAGGGCTTTGGATGCAAGAACCGTATCTTTTTCTATGTATAAACCTGCACATGAAAATGTGGACTCCACCTAACCTAAGGAAATCACCAGACAGCATGCAAGACACAAGGCCGCATGAGAATTGCTGCATAGATAAGGTTGTACGTGAGGCTGAAGTGGAAGTAGGAAAGGCAGGACACTGTAGTCCCCACTGCCAGCCAAGCCACATACCACAGACCACAGGCAGGACAGATCAGATCTCACAGATTTCATGCAGAGGGCCTACATTCTGCAGATGCAGTACAGTCAATCTGTATCAGTCTCAGAGCACCTGGCCTCACACTTACCTTTCCACCTTATGGGGAGATTCTATGTTTATACCTGCAATCTGACATCACCCAGCAAGGCAGCCTCAAACTCGGGGGCCCATGCTCAGTAGACGGCACTGGGTCAGAAAGATACCAGCAAAATTATGTGGGTTGTCTTATCTTGGTCTCCTGCTCTACAATGCACAGCTCTTCTAGCCTTGCTGTATCTCTTAGAAGTGATCAGATCCACTCTCTGAGGTACTGGAGAAGTGATCCCATATCTGGTTCTGATGAGCAAAGTCCCATGGGTCCCATGCCTGGGTTACACCTGGACTACTGAAATGGTTACTTGGAGGATTGTACCATTTAAACCAAGCTTGCTCTTATTTCCCCAGAGCAAAAATCTGCTTTCTAAATGTATCTGGTGGATGTTTCCAGCTTCTTCCTCCTGTGAAATGAACCATAACTGTACTCCAATTTAACCTGCATCCTGTGCAAACAACTCCTGACCTCAGAGGAAGGCTGGGGAGAGGTCAGGGCCCCTTCCAGTACAGGATGAGGCAATGGTTTGTCTTATCAGGTAGCCAGGCTGATTTCACCTTTTCAGGACTGGGGATTAAATCTAGGAAATTTATACCGAGCTGTTTCCCCCATTTGATTTTTATTGAGACGCAGTTTCACTATGTTGCTAAATTGCCCAGGGAGGCTCAAAAGGTAAACCTGTGAAATCCTCTTGCATCAGCACCCCAGAATACTGAGGTCTCATGCATGCAGCACCTTGCCTGACTTTGACCCATTTCAGTAAAAATAAAGTGAAAACAAGGTAAGGTAATGAAATGATTCACTTCATACACAAAGTGCTATTATTTGGCATTAATATTCAACATAACAATCAAATGAAGAAAGTTCCATCCAAGGTCACTGGACACACACATTAGACATCATCTCAGTGTAGAGCACCTGACAGAAAAAAGTGCATGCAGCCCCATCATGAATTAGATACTGGTGATGAGGCAGAGGAAGCTGGGATACTAATTCGGGAGCTGATCACAGACTGCTGTTCCCTTTCCCCAGTATAAAAATGTACCTCACCTCCTCAATACTTATTAGAGAAACACTCATAGTTGGAGTCACTTTCAGATCCACTGAAAGTGTCAAATCCATCACAAGATTTTCTCTGAAAATATGTGAGTCTATCTCAGAGAATAAAATCTGGACTTTGCATATACATGTTATACACTGACTCCGCAAGTCGATGCATGCTAAAAACAAAATACTGTGTACAAAAGCCCAAGGAGAGCAGGGTCAAAGTCTCAGGAAGGAGAAGCCAATGCTTTTGCATGAGTCTACAGCTTTCCCCCCAGGAATGGCAGCTTTTCACTGTTAATGTTCTTCTCTGCTGGGGTTCTCTTCAGCTGGAGGTCACCTACAGGCAAGGCTTCCTGGATGGCCAAAAAGCATCATGAGCATGTTCATTTCTCCTTTTCTGTAGGTTCAACATTTGCTGCATTTTGAAGGTGTGACTGATCTACATCACAGCACTGATGAGCTAAGAACACTACATCCAAATCTTGTTCAAAACAATACTAGCACAGATCTTTCTTTTAATAGACTAAGAAACTAGTTCAAAACTATCCTTTTTATATAACCCGTAACTATCTCCTGTGTGTATAATTTCTTTTCTTTTTCCCATCCTTCCTTTCTGCCATTAGTTTTTCATTTTTCTAAGTCTCTTCTCAAGTCACAATGTGTATGGTACAGTTTGGATTTTGTTCAGTTTCGCACAATACTGAGACATACAAAGTTTACACATGTGAATACGATTTGTAAATTTTGGTAAGTGGATGAACTTGGCATTCGATTTAATCATGCCATGGAGAATGGCACATGCTAGAAACTTTGTCAACTTTCGTTTTGGCAATTTTCAATTTAAAACCATTTGACTATGAAGAAATGGCAGAACTTTTGGATAAACATGTGGATAAAGAGGGACTAGAATTTTTTAGCTGGTGCCAAACCTGTGACTGGCCAGACAAGGGCAAAAATTGTGCACAACCACACAGCTGTGCAGGAAATGTCTGCTAGGTTAACTCCAACACGTCAGTTCTCATGCACGAAATCCATGTCGATGATCATCATATGCTTTACTGCACACTGGTAACTGTATCTGTAGTCACTATGTCACCATGCCCACCATTCAATATTCTGTTTTGGGGAAGCATATTCCATGGATTTTCTTTAGAAAGCTTGGATATGTGGTGAAATCCGGATACACTTGCATATACACAAGGCCGTTTTATAGATGATGAACATAACACTGGAGGTATCCTGTTTTAACTTTTCCTTTACAGGAGAAAAATGATATATACCAGCAAGTAAGAAAGCACATTTCAAAAATTAAGAGTAAGAAATGGATGGAAAAGTTGAAGAGGAGGTGGGAAGGTCAAGTATGAGCAATTCAGATCGGTTACATACACAAACCAGCTTCTGCAGATGAACATTTATAATATAGGCTGCAACGACATATCAAAAAATATTTTAAATCTCAGAAGCTTTTGCTTTTGTGATTATCTTATCATCAGCGTGCCTTGATGGAGAAATGCCATGAAACCAGATAAAACACACTCTGGTTGTGTCTGTGTGGCTCCTTCTGGAGACTGACACCTGAGCCACTGACCTGAGGTGGAACCAACTGTCATGATAAAAACTGGTATCATCCAAGAGTGGCAGGAGCAGATCAAAAGAGCAGAAAAAAGAAGCTTCCGTATTTATTTACTTAAAAAGGTATAAGTTTACAACTGTAATTATTATTATTTTTTTCTTTTTGAGGCTATGAAGTTCAGGCTGGCTTTGAACTCACTTTGTGGCCTAGACTGGCTGTAACTTGCAGCAATCCTTCTGCCTCAGTTTCCCAATGCTGGGATTACATGAGTAGGCCATCTCACCTGGACAAAGGTGTGGTTTTTTTAATAGCAAAGTCTACAAGTATATAGATGAGACATTTACAGGTGACTTACTGAAAAGCAGAATGACTACCCTAACTTGTCTCCTCTAGGACTGTTTTCTGGAAACTATGAATAAATATCAACATCACCAATTTTATATCACTTCTAAGTGTTTCCTCTACATAAGTACTTTATAAAGGATTTTCAAAATAGTCTTCCATATGTAGGTTTTCTCTTCAGCATAACTGCTTTCACATATCTGGTAATACCAAACGCTTTCCCACCTTGTTCAAGCAATGTGGGGAAGCAGTGAACACACATAGGTGGTATAAAACACATGATGGAACTGCAATTATTAATTAAAGATGATCTGAAATTCCACAGATGTTCTTTAGAACCCTAGGAAGTGTGGTGAAATCCCAATACACTTTGCATATTCATGATGCAGCTTTATAGATGATGCATGCAATATTGGGAGAGAAATCTATGGAATTTACAGCAGTTTTGGTCCTAGTATGACTTCCGAGGGTTAGTCTCTCCCAGATGAATTCCTACCCCCCCATCCGTGTGTGTGTGTGTGGGGGGGTATCAGGGATCAAACTCGGGACCTTGTACTTGCCAGACAGGTGCTTATGCCACTGATCAATATCCCCAGCCCTAATTTCCCCACATTTCTTAGAAGGAGTTACTCCTCATTGTGCCTTGTTTATATCATAAAGACATCTTTGCCCCCACTGGCTACACACAGCTCCTCTGTGGTGTGCATAATTTCATAATTTAATGGCGTGTTCATGTGCCGAATGCTTTCCCACACTGCATATATACATGGGATTTCTCCCAAATATGGAATCTTCTAGGTCTATGAAATAGGGACTTCTCAGCAAATACTTTTCCATATTTCTTATACTGAAAGGACTTCTCTCCACCATGAATTCTCTCATGTTCCCATTTCCTATATTGCTAAATACGTAAGGTTTCTCCCTAGGGTGAGTCCCATCACATTTTATACCACCTGTGTGTGCTTCCTCACACTGCTTGAACAGATAAAGCTTCTCCCATATACTTAACAATAACAGTACGTAGTGATGCTCTCTCCTACTGCTGTCACATGTAAGCCTTCTTCCCACTGTGAATCTTTTCATGTAGTTGACAATTAATCTTTCGGCTGAAAGATTTTCCACACTGCTTACATACATAGGGTTTCTCTCCAGTGTGAGTTCTTTCATGTGATTGAAAGTGACTGTTTTGGCTGAAAGACTTCCCACACTGCTCACAAACATAGGGCTTCTCACCCATGTGATATCTTATATGTCTATAAAATGAGGAATGATGAGCAAATCCTTTTCCACATTGCTGACATTCATAAGGTTTCTCCCCAGTGTGGGATCGGTTATGTATACGGAGTGAAGCATTATCAGCAAATCCTTTTCCACATTGTTGACATTCATAAGGCTTCTCCCCAGAATGGGTTCTTTTATGTGCTTGAAAGTTGCACTTCTGTGTGAAAGATTTCCCACACTGCTTACATACGTAGGGTTTCTCCCCAGTGTGAGTTCTCTCATGTATTTTATAATAACTCTGTGTACTGAATGCTTTCCCACACCGCTTGCACACATAAGGTTTCTCCCCAGTGTGACTTCTTTCATGTATTTGACAATCACGGTATGTAGTGAATGCTTTCCCACATTGCTTACACACATAGGGCTTCTTCCCAGTATGAATCCTTTCATGTCTTTCACAATTATTTTTTTCACTGAAAACTTTCCCACACTGCTTACATACATAGGGTTTCTCCCCAGTGTGAGTTCTTTCATGACTTTGACACTGACTGTGTGTGCTGAAAGATTTCCCACAATGCTTACATACGAAGGGTTTCTCCCCAGTGTGAGTTCTTTCGTGACGATCACAGTGACTCTTTTGACCGAATGCTTTCCCACACTGTTTACATGCAAAGGGTTTCTCCCCAGTGTGGATTCTTCTATGTCTATGAAATGAAGATCTATTAGCAAATCCTTTGCCACATTGTGTACATGCATAGGGTTTCTCCCCAGTGTGACTTCTTTCATGTACTTGAAAGTGACATTTTTGGATGAAGTATCTTCCACACTGCTCACATACATAGGGTTTCTTCCCACTGTGAATCATTTTATAGTTTTGGAAAGAATTACTATGAGCTAAAGTTCTTACACATACGTTAGATATGCAAGGCTTTTCTCCAGTGTGTCTTCTTTCATGAACTTGAATTTGGTATGAAGAAATAAAAGTTTCCTCACATTGTTGGTATACATACAGACTTTCCACATAGTGATTTCTCTCATGGATCTGAACACCACTGAGTGTGCTGTACGCTTTCACGCTTTTCTTACCTACAAAGTTTTTCTCCCCAAGGTGAATTTGTTCACTAAGATCAGTGCAGACTTTCCCACACTGCTCATATTGACAAGGTTCCTCTCCAGTCTTTCTTATTCCATGCCTCTGAAAAGACTGGAAATTAGTGCAGGGTGTTCCATGTTCCTTACATTTATACAGCTTCTCTTCAAATCTCAAATAACCATCTGCTTCATTTCTGTAAAAGAGAAAAAACAATGTATCAATCACAATGTAAAAGGTCTTCATATTAATAATTTACCAGGACAAGCTCTAGTTTGATGCCTGCCAAGACACTCTGATGATGAACTGACTTAATATCCAGGAGGAAGTCTACAAAACACCCATTCTCAAAAGAATGGTTTTCATTAGGGACTTCTAAATTGGTACGTTCACATATATAATATCAAATTTCATTTTAGGGAATGGGCACATATGCATGTCACACATTGATCATTTTTATCTTTTCCCCTACAACTCCCCTCTTTCTGCAATTACCCTGATCAGCTTTAGCAGGTTCAGAAAGTTAGACCTTCTCTTTTCTATCACCTTCCCTTTATTTTACTCTCTAAATATATTTTTACTTTCCCATTTAAAAGAAAGCATATGATATTTCAGTTTCTGTGTCTGACTTATTTCACTGACTATGATAGGTTGGAGTCTTATGCATTTTTGTTCTTTGATAGCTGATATCATTGTTTGTAATGGGTAAATATATAGCACATTTTTTCAGTGGGACAAACCAGTTTATTTTGCTTTCTTTTGTTTGTATTTAGTACACGGTTTACAGCATCCAAAAGGTCTCACTATACAGATCCCACTCACAGTGATCTGCCTGTGTTCAGCCTCCCAAGAGCTGGGATTACAGGCGTATCCCACCACACCCAGTCTCAACCTCTGTTTCAATGTGCCCTCAGGGCAGGGCTACAGGGCATGCCAGTGATCAAATCCTGGTTGCTGACTCTGCCTAAGCATGCACTTTATTTTTTTTTATATGACAAATCTTTTTCTTTTTTAATAATTTTATTGAGAAACAAATAGCAATGAGACAGTTTCAAAACCAACTGACAGGGCAGTTTCAACAATACATTGCATACAGTTATTTTCTTAGTGGTTATTCATAGTACAAGATGCTGACATGATATCCTGTCCAAACACTATTAGCCCAAATCTTTCCTTTCATTGAATTAAGAGAAAGTAGCTGTATATCTATCAGAACTATTTTGTATATATAAATACAAAATGCTCGTTCATTTGTATCCCCCTTTTTAGTTTAGTTTTGTCAGAGAAGGTCATTTAAATATTGTAGGTATGTGAATTTAGCAAAATGTTCCAATATATTGCAGTAGTCCTCAATAGTACTGGGTCATCCACAGGACTGGAAATGTCAGAAGTTGTTGACCTGAGTCCTTTACAGCCCAGCATACCAACATGGCTTCTCCCCTTACACCTCGTTTACCTTTCTGCTGGGTGGTTAAGACCAAATAAAGCAAAACCTATACAACAAGAAATGTAACTTTTATATCTGATAAAGTCAGTCAAGTCCCCTCAGGATTTATAGGGAAACCCTGTACCGCAATTTGTAGATCCTTTGTCGATATCAGCCATGTGGATGAGTCATGGCCATTGCTTGACCAATATGCTCTCTGTGAAAGCTTGAGAGAATGTTTTCTCTCCATGTGACTCTCCTTAGGCATACTCTGCATCATCGATCACATTCCTCTGTGGCCCCATAATCTCCTTGATCAGAAAATTTGGGACACAACTGAGTTACATGATGCTACAGTATAGGTGCTCCTATGTCCTGAAAGGCTAAGGCCAAAATGTTGGCTGTCCTTGCAGCCCTTCTTTTTCTCTGATTTTTGGTCTGCAAACTTAGGTTATTAACCCTCAAGAAGAGAAGCTTATTATTACCCTACAACATGTGCAGTTGGGTTTAATCTTACTATCTGTCTGAATATCAAACATCTTAGGCATAACATAGCACAGGTATTTATCAAGTATTGATATATTAAACTTTAAGTCCCTACAGAATATAAAGAAAAAAATTAAAAATAAAAATACTTTTAAAATATTAATAAACAATTACATATTTTTACACAGAAATTTAGAAATTAACAATATACAGCACTGTAACAAGACTGTCCTATGACATTTTTTTTCTTGTCTCTTTTTTTCATTTATTATCCTTTCTTTTTAAACAAACACTTACTTGAGAGACAGTATCACAATAATTGGTATGTTATGACAAGCAGTACGTATTTAGAAGACCAGGGTGACAGGCATTCCTACCATTACACATTGCTATCTTCAGTGCAGTTGCTTAGTTCACAGGTATCAGCATATATAGTTAGTCATGGTGATAATCCTACCAACTAACTGCTAGCTTCAAAAACCTGCTGTGCTTCCCAGGATCATTGCCTTACCCATCTTGTGTGTATAAATGTATGGCTTTGCCCCTGTCATGGTTCCCAGCTTTTCTCCTTGCCCTCTCTTTATTGTCTAGCCCTCAAGTTCTCACTTTCCTTTTAATTGTGTTACATCTTTCTATTTGTATTTCCTTTTTTGAGCTCTTATACTAGGGAGACTATACGATATTTACACATATGGGTCTGGTTTATTTCACTTATGAGTATATCTTCAAGTGTCATACACTTAAATAAGTATGCACTTTAATCAACTGTGCTATTTGGCTGGCCTAAACAGGTCTTGTTGAATTACATTTCCAACTTTATTTTATTTTGACACACATTCTTATTGACCATTAATTTGCTGAGGCTGAAAAAAAATAATATAACCAAGATAAACAAATTCACGTCAGTTACAAGTATCAATATAATTAACGTCTTAATTGACCAATCCAAAAAAAAAAAATAGACTGGCAGAATGGATTGAGAAATGACATCCAACACTATGCTACGTACAAGAAACACACATAAGTCAAAAGAAAGGAAAAGAATGGCAAACAATACTCCATGTGATAGGAACTGAGAAAAAAAAAAAAAGGAATGGGTTATCTATTTGCAGAGAATGTCAGCTTCAAGTCAAAACCTAGCAAAAAAAGATTTTAAAAAAGTCATTATCTTCCTGTTCAGGGAAAACTCCAAGAAGAAGAAATGATAATCATAAATATATATGAACCAAATAAAGGTGTACCCAACCAAACAAAACAAACTATTCATGGATATGAAATATCAAATAGGCACTAACACAATTAAGCACTTCACTATCACAAATAGATTGAAGAGACAAAGACTAAGCAAAGAAATATCAGGAATGGGGTTCGATCCCTGGGCCTGTCATGCCGGCCCTGCTCCCAGGGCACGCTGAGATGGCAATTGAGACTGGGCATGGTGGCGTGCGCCTGTCATTCCAGTTCTTGGGAGGCTGTAAACAGGTGGATCACTACAAATCTGATCTAGTAGTGAGACCCTTAACACCCTGTAGGCCCTTCCCTAAAATAAAAATATATGTATATATCAGAAATGAACTAAAGCCATGAACGAATGGCCTCAATAGACGTCTGCAGTGTTCTACCTCACACATTCTTCTCAGTTGTTCATGGGATGTTCTCCAAAACAGACTACATGCAATGCCTTAGAATACACATAAGAAAATGCAAAGGAATTGAAATTTTCCCATGTACATTATCTGACCAAAGGGTAATGAAATTGGAAATCAATGGCAAAAGAAACCACAAAAACTCCACAATAGATGAAAATAAAACAACTCCATGATGAGCAATAAATGGGTCACAGATAAAATTAAAGATAAATTAAACAGTACCTACAACCAAATAATAATTCTGACACAACATACTGGAACTTATGGGACACAATGAAAGGGACCCTAAAAGAGAAATTTATAGCAGTGAATACTTATATGAATAAGACAGAACAAGCCCAAATAACTTAATGTTGAATCTCAAATTTCTAGAAAAACAAATTAAGATCGACAATCACATAAGTGAAGAAAATGTGAAAATCAGACCAGAAAGAAATGTAATTGAGGGTTGCAGAGATACCTCAGTGGTCTTAGCACCTGCCTAGGCAAGAGCAAGGACCTGAATTCAATCACTGGTACTGCATGGCATGCAGCCCTCCCCTGGGCATACCAAGACCAGGTGTGGTGGTATACACCTGTAATTCCAGTGCTGGGGAAGCTGAGACAGGAGGATCACTACAAGTCCAAGCTGCACAGTGAGACCCTGTACCAAATACATTTTTTTTTTTTTTTTTTGTATTTTAGGGAAGGGTCTCACAGGGTGTTCAGGGTCTCACTACTAGATCAGACTCAT